AATCGATATGAGCTTTTTCAATCTCCTCTTGGGAGGAGACTTTGATACCGGTAGAATCAGAAACCGAAGAGATGTGGGATCGTTGAGCTTTAATTCTTTATAAATGAAAAAAATACCAACTGGGGCGTTCGCTTTCCTCTAGCCATTCTGTTCTGCTACGAATAATGATTTCTTCGACTTGTTTAGTTTGAAGGGCTTTGAAACGACATTCGGTGTCAGAAATTAAAGGGATAACGGAATTGTCTAAATGTTGACGAAGACGGATCAATTTGTTCCTCAAAATCACCTGGTCTCTTTGCAATTGTCTTCGCTTTTTGCGGGAAAAGGAGATCGTTTCTTCTTTAATAGACTGTTTTAAAAACTGAATAAAGGCTGATAGTTTCGAAAGAAACTGTTTGGGGCTGCGTCGGTGGGAGTAACGAAATAATTTGGATATATCAACAAAGTTGAAGTGGTAAGTTGGCCACCGTAACGATTCCAAAAGCTGACGTTTCGAGCGTTAGCCCTTCGTCGGAGCGAATAGAGGAATTGTGGGTTGTGTTTGCTTTTAAAGGCAGAGAATGGAACTACGTTATTGGTGGGAACATGGCAACGAGAAAAACAAGAATAAATTAGTGGAATGAAAAGCGTTCGTTGATCCCTGTGGGATTTAGACTGCCGGTTTGAAAGATGAGCTTTTGTTCAAGATTTTTACGGCTTTCCGTGCTACCTAAGTGTAAGGAAAGCAAGAGTTCTTAAATATATANGTCGTTGCACCTGATCAAAACACTGACAATACGACCTTGTGAGTCCTTCTTCCAAGATACGATTTCGTTTGAGCATTTCGAAGAAATCAAGGTGACGACACCACCCTGTTTCCGGATGCAGGGGAACAAAAACTACGGCCCAGCCATCTACGGGATAGAGATTTGATAGTAGATTCAGAATGAATTAACGTTTCTTGTACAAAACAGACACCACAGTTGGACTTCTCGATCAAATCAAACAAGAAATTTTAGGTAAGGGGGTTTGCTAGCCCCCTTGCATTGATAGTTAAAGTTTTGAAGGTCTCTCGGTAAAAAGTTTCACATTTCACTGGAAGATTCTTGGAAAAAAGACTCACTTAAGAATTATAAGCTTACTTGAGTTTCCTTGACCTGTTTCTCCCCTTTTGTCTCTCTGAGGTAGGGGTCGAGAGTTCAAATGATGATGATGATTTTCTTTTCAGTTCGTGACTAGTTTCCATCCCTTCTTCTGGGTAGTTATGGGTGACCAATATGGGAGTGTGTGATGCGGTAGGTAAAGTGATAGAAGAACGGGATTTTCCGGTGACAAGTGTTGGTGCAGTAGATTTTCGGGAGCATGCAAGATAAAATTCGTCGGGCAGTTTGGCAGGTGTTCGGCGGGAAGATGGTTTGATGGCAGATTTGATTGTGGCGATGAGTCCTTGAGAAGTGATGAGAGGTGAGTCCGTAGGGGTAGATTCAGAAGATTGGCCAGGCTGTTCAGACGGAAGATCGGGTTGTTCAGACGGAAGATCGGGCTAGTTAAGTTCATTGGGCTGTTCAGGAGGCGGTTGAGTGGTTGGATCAGAAGCAGGAAGTTCAGAAGAAGGATCAGTGAGTTGTTTAGCAGGCAAAGTAAACTGTACGGGCGGTGGCAGAAAGGAGGCCAGCGGGAGATTTTCGTCAATGGACGAGGAATCCGAGTCAGCGGGTTAGACGGATTTCTCGGATTGATTAGGCGGAGGAAAGGCAGAGGCGAGCGGCAGATTTCCCATCGAAGCGGAGCTGAGGTTGTCATCGTCAATATTTACATCTTCTTTTTAGTCTGTTGGTGCGCCATGTACTGTTAGGAAAACCCACGAGTATTCGCAATTAACGCCTATGTGACCCTCTTGTTTGCAAATACAGCAAAGTGTTGGACGTTGACACTCACGGGCTTCGTGACCAGTGTTTTCACAATTAAAACATATTTTGTTTGGGCAGGCGTTGTTGAAGTGACCGGGGCGATTGCATTTTCTACATGTAGGAGTTTGGCCTGAATATTTAATAAAAAAATTTGACCACTGACCTCTGCGATACTAGTGCAGCGCTCTACCAATTGAGCTAACAAGCCAACTGGGAGCAGGCCGTTAAGTTGATTCGAATCCCGCACAGGCCTGATTTTTTTTCAGGTCTGATTTTCGCTATTGCATAAATAGCGCTTTCTATTGCGAGGATCGTGCATCATACGTATCTAATACCGCAGTTCAAAATATATGAACTTCATATATTCATTGTATCTGATTTATCATCACGGGCCATGAATCAACTTAACGGCCTGCTCCCAGTTGGCTTGTTAGCTCAATTGGTAGAGCGCTGCACTAGTATCGCAGAGGTCAGTGGTANGATAGATAGATAGATAGATAGTTCATTAGAATATCGAACATGGCAGTCCGTAGGCTTCGTTACAATTACTAAGAACTAGGAATAAATAAATTCCAAATACAAATTGAAATTATAATAAAACCATAAATGTGAAAAACTCTCTATATATGACTATGTATAAACTAGTCTAAAAAAAAATTTTTTTATGTACACGTACTTGGAATAAAAGTGTTCTTAAAACGATTTGTATGTGTACGGGGCATGGCATAAGCCCTGGACTGTCTTAGATTATATCTGTGTTCTCTCTTAGGAGGTAAGACAGGCACGACGTTGTGATCCGGGCATGACATGATAGACTCGAAAAGCTTCCTACACAGAGCCACGCGTCTTGCGTGCAAGGTTACTAAGTCGAACCTGGCCAAACATTCGAAATATGACGCATAAGGACAAATGATGGAGAGCGCTCTCTTATGTACTCGTTCAATGTCGTCACTAAGATACTGTGGAAGCGCGTGATGGAAAACTGGCGCACAGTTTTCAAAAACATACTCAGAAGTGACTATTAATATAAAACATACTCATAAGTGACTATCAATTTTAGTTCAAACCCAGTGGCAGTCTGAAATGTTTACAAAGTACGCATTCTGAAATTCTGTTGGGTTGTAGTTTACGAGGGGCGAGAAATTGGCCAGAAATCATTCGGAAGCGAAAACATGGCTTCCTTACTTGTGTACTTTTGAGTTGAAAATTTTCTTTTAATACAGATTGAAGACATACAAACAACATTCTCAACAACACATGACAACTGAACGGTTGTTTAGTATGAATTCAAGAAATAACATATAACCGAAGACCTGGGAGTACGACACGCACTACCAATATAATTGCTCTATGTTAATGGCTGAAATTCGAGTACATACAATATATTTATCATTCTACTTTAAGTTTGATCGAAATTGAAGTGAAACTGAACTTTTTTTCCATCTAATACGGTACATGAACAAACAAAAAGTTCAAGATGCGAAGTAAAAAGGTTTCAGAAGCGAGAAATCTAATTTCGAAAACCTAGTTTTAATTTCTCGAGCTCGTTGCATCTCATTGCCGCGCTGCCATTATCGCACCGATTAACACTTGTTTAGATATGTACGTTTTTCCTTACCTTTTTTATCCCAGTGATAAAAGAATAACAATTTTAACAAAATTTCATCGATTGAAAGGAACCAACACGTCGTAACGAGCTGCCTTGTTGTGTGTTCCGGCGTCGTAATCACGCCTCTCGTGATATTTATACAACCTCTGATTCCAGTCGCCAGAGGAACACAATTTGCGCATTGAATTCTTTCGCACCTCGAATTACTGGAAACAATATTCTAACTGACGAGACCTCTACTTAAATGAATGAATGTACCAGAAACTGCCCGTGTTCCTAAAGATGAAACCCTTTCTTAGAAAGTTTATCACGGCGGAACGAAGGTATTTATTACTTTTTACTTTGTGTCGCTCATGAATACACTTGCAACGTATGTTTGCATGACATTGTAACGGAAAGAGGGGCACGAGATATGCAAAGTGGATGCTCTTTAGAAGTGATCCGCTCTTCTATCTTGTCTCTCTCTCTTGAAGCTACACGGTAATAGCAACGTAAACGTCCAGTAACAGATTTACTCCTCTCTGTCGTTTAATGATGGATAGAGCTTTATTTTCTGCGTTGCACTTATCAAAAATATGACAAGTCACTTCGCAAGCCCAACGCATGATAAGTGAATAAAAGGGATAAGGTTCTGAAGAAACTGTGGTACTTCCTCGGTTGGGGCCAGTGTACCATTACATATATCAGCCTGACTTGACAAATAGCCTTGCACATTCATAGCCATCCTGAGCGTTATAAATGTGCAATATTTGTAATATCTGACGAGTGGTAACGCTCGAATCGTCAGCTTTCGAAACTCTTTACGATGGCCAACTTACATTATCAATTCATTTGATATTAGTAAATTATCTTGTCCTAATATCTCTCTTTAGTCGGATCCGGAGTTCTTCTGATGACTGAAAAAAGTTATTCTAGATGTTAGCTTTATGGAATAATAGAATATAATACGAACACAGCGTTCTTAGGGTTCTTACGGTCAATTGAACCGCGGGGCATATGTACTTTTGTTTTCTTACTTCAAGGTCTACTGCTTCACTGGTATCGTCTTCCTGTTATCAGTTATTTTCTGTCACTGTCTTGCGGCAACAATAACCCTCTAGGAAAGCGGAACATAGGGATCAACGAATTTCCAAACAATTGTTTCAAGGATAAAAAGCTCAATACTTAAAGACCAGTTACTAAAACTTTTCGCGTGGACAAGTGCAGTAACTTGATTTGAAAGCAGAGAGGGGAGCCGTCTCTGCACCTTGCGCCTTGTCTAGATCTCCTGAAGGGAATGTGTCTCGAACGTTCAAAGTGAGTGTGTTGATTCTTTTTCCCTTTTGTCATAAGGCTTCAAATCCAACGGATCTGACGTCAACACAGGAACACGAATAGTTCACTGCGACAAGGGCGGCCAACAATAAACCACTGGGCTCTTTCTCCACATGAAATGTTTCTTTGATCCTTTAATTCCGCTTTTCGGGAAAAAGTTATTATTTTGCTTAATGGTGTACTGAGCGCAGTCCTTGTCACGGTATACGATTCGTGTTGCTGTGTTGACGTCAAATCCGGTCTGTTATTTCTTACGTTGGATTTAAATCCGTGTGACAAAAGGAAAAGAAAACACTTTCTGTTTGAACGTAGGAGACACATTCGTTTCAGGAAGACAAGGTCCAGAGACAGAACGTCACTACGCTTCCAAATCAAGTCACTACGATTTGTCCACGCGACAAGTTTTAGCAGCCAATTGTTGGGTATTTCTGATCCTTTAAGGTATACTGATAAACTTTGTCCTCTTCGCGTAAGATTTCTTTGGCCTGAGGGTGTACGTAGGAAACGAAAACTCAAAATACCGATAGCGCGCACCAAATTAAAGATGAACAATCAATAGGAACGACAAAACTGAGCTGTCTATACATAAGAGAATTTTCCTAGGATTTGACCTTTTATTTTAGAAACGAATTTTATCGTTCTTGCCCTCAAGCAAAGCCGAATCTCGATTGAACGGAAATATAGTTCAGTTAAGTTTTAGAAAACGGAGATTTCATGTTGCTACCATGCCACGAACTGATTACCATGGCGTTATATTTGCACGTAACAATGTCAATACTGAAGTAAACACTCTCGGGGCAATAATTATTCATAGCTACACCTCACGTTAAGGTTATTAGCCTAGAGATGACCGAGCCTTGCCAATTGCAATCATTATCAATATAGCGAGTTATGACTCGCTGATTTTTTTATCACACAGTGTGTTTTCTACATCTCTAGCTCCACGAAGACTACTGCTTTGATTTTTGTTTATTATGTTTTTCATTTCTTTGTTTACTTGTTGTTCCTAATCTATTTAGGTCTCTACGAATACATGATATAAAAACGATAGATGTTAAACCTCTATTTGCACAGATCTATTTTCTTCAAGTTATGTCCATTTAGTTACAAAAGTATATGTTCTTTTTTTTTTAAAGACTGAATTGACCTTGTGTTCGAAATGAGTGGGGAAAAGAATTATAGTCAACTGAAATACTATGCTACCAGTGGTGACAACGTGGACAGTGAGTTGGACAACTTTGGAGGTTAGATCCCTAGAATAGCACGAACGCGTATTTTGTGGAAGGAGAAACGTGTTTTTTGGAAGAAAAATTATTTTCTCCCCCCAAGACCCTGTAAAGGAAAAGGCCTTTGACATGTAGACATGATAAAGGAGTTGAAGTTAAACGGTCTTACGTTCAAGGTAGACCACCAAACTAAGCCATTGTAAGGTTCTAATTTGGACTTGTAGGACTCAAGCAACATCTTCATGCAATTAGCTCTGTGTGACTCCATGATTGAGCCCTTTTAGCCGATGCGTTGGCAAAGCTCGTGATCCACATGTTGCAGATAATGTATTGATATCGTAAGACGCTGCATGGAATTGATTTATAGGGTTTAAGAGTCCTAGAGTAATTTTGCTTGCTAGTCTAATTGTTTCTTTCTTATTGTCAAAACACTAAAAAGTTGAGAATGATGCCAATCTATCAAGTACATCAGAGTCCAGGGTATTATTCAGTAAATCCAATAAAGGTAGGCTTTATAGAAAAGGTGTTTTGTACTTTTTTCATAATTAAACAAGTCGAATTAGTACGGAAGATTTTCAAAGCCAGTCTCCTTGAAGAAAAAGTACGCTCCAGGGCTGGGTCGTTCGAAACACCATTTTCATTCATAAACATTCCGCAGAATTGTGACGGCGCGGAGTATGTAATCCTGCTCATTGGAAGCTAGTTACGTTATGTTATGCGAAGCATCTCTGGATGTAATGATCCTTCTGCTTAGATTTTGGGTATATCGAATAAAGGTGTCCAAGCCGGTAAGTTGAAAGGAATGTTTTTACCCTCCCTCCTTTAGGTGACGTTATTTGCAGCAAACTTTTTCGCGGTTCACTTATATCCTTTAACCGAATTTGCTTTCATGCATATTGCTTATTCTTAAACTAAATATCTCTAGGAGTCATCGTTAGAATTTAAAGATTGGGCCTTAAACCCTTATCTTGGCAAAAAATTAAAATCAAATGAAAGTTGAAATCGTGGACACTATATCATCAACTTTGAGGGCACATCCACTCCTTCGAGGAAGTCGTTCAGCTCACGATCATCAAGCAGTTAGCGCGCTTAAGTTCTTCTTTCCTTTTTTTTTCTTTGGCCTTGAGGGAGGAGATAGCTAAACCCAAATAAATTTTTGATATAAGTTCGAGTACATAAAATTCCTCCGCGAGTATTACGAAAGCTTTGAGTTCGAAATGTTTTCCAAGTGTGCCAGCAATCACAAGAAGCTAGACGTACTCTCATCTAAACTGGTCGGTCGACCAATGAGAACACGCTTATCATGGAAATTATTCCATAAACAAAAGTGTTAAAAGATCGCATCTAAACGCCACTATTTATAAATTCCGTCCTGACCGCATATATAAAAAATCACAAAAAATCCCTTATAACAATATTAGCAATTACAGTAATTAACAACTATTGCCGAAGTGCTGGTGGCTAGTTAACAACTATTCACCAAAGTGGAGGTGGTTAGCGGTGGATATTTACCGAGCCGCGTTGTTTTAACTTAGTATATACTAAAACAGTGAGATAATATACACCACTGTCGTTAATTTGAGTGATTTCTTCGCTTGTCACGGAAGCAAACTGGGACCGGNTCTACCAATTGAGCTAACAAGCCAACTGGGAGCAGGCCGTTAAGTTGATTCGTAATAAACCCGTGATGATAAATCAGATACAATGAATATATGAAGTTCATATATTTTGAACTGCGGTATTAGATACGTATGATGCACGATCCTCGCAGTAGAGAGCGCTATTTATGCAATAGCGAAAATCAGACCTGAAAAAAATCAGGCCTGTACGGGATTCGAACCACTGACCTCTGCGATACTAGTGCAGCGCTCTACCAATTGAGCTAACAAGCCAACTGGGAGCAGGCCGTTAAGTTGATTCGTAATAAACCCGTGATGATAAATCAGATACAAACTTCATTTAATATTGGGAAAGATAACTGCATACCCCATTCGGTTGATCCCGTCTTTGATCAGAGAAATGCAGTGCATTATAATTCGAATGTGGAATACTTTTACGAGTTCAACAGGGACTATTTCAAATAAGCTTGACGCTAAATACGCGCTTGAAAACTTTGTTGTTAGGTTAAGCACAGTGAATTTAATGGTTAAATAATCCTTATAGCACGAGAATAATCAATGAATAAGTAAATTAAGAAAAAAATCAAGGTTATGGCATGAAAACTCAAACAACTGATCATGTGCATGGCTGTGAATAAATCCACTATAGGCATTGTACGTAGCATGTTCAATCAAAAGCTTGGAACACTTATATGAGTAAGATTTTGTCAGATAATCATTTCTGGTCAAGTTCATGGTTTTCATGGTCATGGTTTTATGATTGCATATTTGTTATTAACGTTTAGGTCATAGAATCGATTCTCTCGAAGAGTTCCTGGGAAAGGGAGAAAAAAGTTCTTGGGAAGAAATAAAGAGAGTAGTCACGGCAGAAGCCCTAGGTAAAGAAAAAGATCCTCTCGATAAAGCATTTGAGGTAAGCTTAATAAGTTGCATGTGCGCGAGGATGCCTTTTCAGACTCATGATATTATTCTCCACTAGATCTCAAAGGGAACTTCTAGGGAACTTGATCTTCTAGGATTCAATCAAATATGGGTTGAAATTTTAACGTGTAACCATCACAAGAAACACGTGAATTTTTGAGCGAAGTGCCGCAAATAGTTTTTATCAGTTTTTCATCACTCAACTAATCAATATCGATTTCCACACACTCTATGCAGATTCATGACAAACTTCGCCATATTGCTGAAACAAGTACTGAGAATACGAGAGCGATTGAAAAGTTAGCTGATAGAGTGGAAGACTTTGCTTTTGATTTATTGGATCAAGTGAAAAGCATTGAAGAAGAAGACATACACGATAAAGCTGCAGACCGTTACGCCTCCCTGTTCAGTGAAATAACGACAAAAGCAATAGCTAAAGAACAGCAAAAGGTGCGCCACTGACTTAATTTTAAAACAACTACTCACCGAAGTGGAGTTGGTCGGTGGTGGATATTTACCGAGCCGCGAAGCGACGAGGTAAATATTCACTTCTAACCACCGACACTGAGGTGAATAGTTGTTTTAGTATATACTAAAACAGTGAGATAATATACACCACCAAAAATTGATTTGAGTGATTTCTTCGCTTACGGGGCCACACTTCAGCTCTCGAGTATAACGTATATGACGGCGTTGAGTTCCAAATGGTTTGCGTTCTCAGACCACGCACATTTTAGTGATTTCACTTTGTTGTTTTGCATAGGAGAGCCAAGAAATGTACCAAGTTTTAAAGTGTACGTGCTGTTTTTCTTCTCGTTAGATCTTTTGTTTTCACACGTCCTCGTTGCCGTCGCCATTGTGGTTTGTTTAAGTGTTTGTTTTTAGTGCAGACGGTTCATTTAGGCACTTACCACACAACTGCGATTTCGTTGAAAAACGCATACTGTTTCATGGTTTTTGCCAGTCATCCGCACTAAAGCGCCTTAAAACATTGATAAAAACATTGATTTTCATAAAAAGTTCCAGGGAGAAAAATTGAAAATGCAACATTTTTAAAACGTTCCCTTTGAGTGCGGTGGGTGAAAACAGAGGCGTTTGAAAATGGCCTTGAGAAAATTAACAGATGTGATCGGTTCCAGCCCTATCTGGAACATCAGTTTCTTCTTTCGTTGGGTACCGTTGTGTAGCGGCCGACACAAGCGAAGCAAAATTTCG